CATGAAAACCCAGGGTCTGGCTTCCTTTAGGAAAATCAGACCCTCTTTTGATGCAGTCCACCAGTGCCGACACTTGGCTGAACTGAGCGTGGCTGGCTGTCAGCCTCACGCTATCCTCTTCTCCAGCCTGCTTGCTTTCTTCTTCATCTGTTTATTATCATGGAGAAGATGGATTTTTGTTATGTGCATACAAAATAACGGGTCTCGTTAGGACATCCTCACACAGGCACATCCCCTCCCTGGCTCATACTCACACCCATTACCCATTCTTGCTTGTAGCTGCCGTTTTTTTTGTAACGGCCGTCAGGTTCTGCTACTTTGTAAAGGCCGGCCGGTTCTGCTGCTCCGGTCGGCAGGTCAGGGTCTAGCAAGAGAGAACGTGGGGACGGAGGAAGGGGAAAAAAGGGGCGAGAGACGCAAAAGATAGATACAAGCCAGAGTCCGGTGGAGTCTCTTCAAGTCTTCTTTATTCTCCTGTCTTCTTACTATATTCTCACTCCTTCAGTCTCCTGTACTCCTCTACTTCTTCCTACTACCTCCTACTTTCTACCTCCTACTTTCTACTCCCCTACTCCCCTATAGAAGGGAAATCCTGGGTATTTATACCCTTTACCACGTGACTTGCCCTCGTGGACAATCTCAACTGAAGTCACTACGTCACGTGCCTTGTAGCCATGGATACCAGGAGCACCTGGCAGCTGGGGGCACTAAACAGTGTAACAAGATGTTTATCAGAGTGCGCTCAGCTATTGCAGGCTGTTGAAACAAGTCTCTTGTCAGGGTATATGGCTCGAGATGGCTGTAAAGATGATAGCCACTTTTGGCTAAGAGTCGGCTCCCAACACTTGCTCAACCCCTGTTTGTCTTCTTTCTCTCAGCAACAGACCCTCTTCTGCTTTCATGTTTTCATGGCACACACACACACACACACACACACACATGCACACACACACAGAGATACACATGCACATCTAGATTCTGTGTATTAGAGAAAACACTCTCTATTTTTCTTTTTGGACTGGGTATGTTTTACCCAAAGATCACGCCCACTCCACTGCAAGTTCCATAATCTCATTTTTCTTTATGGCAGAAGAAACTCCATTGTCGGGGAGCACAACATTTTCTTTTTTCTTTTTTTTTCTTTTTTTTTTTTTTTTTAGTTTTTCGAGACAGGGTTTCTCTGTGCAGCCCTGGCTGTCCTAGAACTCACTCTGTAGACCAGGCTGGCCTTGAAATCCGCCTGCCTCTGCCTCCCAAGTGCTGGGATTAAAGGCGTGCACCACCACTGCCCAGCAAAAAAGTGTAGCCCAGGCTGGCCTTGAACTCGTGATCCTCCTGCCTCTAGCCTCCTTCAGCAAATCCTACCGGTGTGCGCCACCACTACCAGCACCACATCTTTCTTTATCCATTCTTTATCCCGTGGGTGCCTCCCCAGCCTTAGGGCATTTATGGCCTCTCTTCCATCACAGCTGAGACTTGTTTTCCTCAGTCTTCTCCCAGCTGAGTTCGATTGGTTTAAGAGGATGCCTCTAGCAACAAGGTGATAACTACTAGTTGTCCCCTTGTGGGAGAGGGTTGGGGAGGTGAGAGAGAACCTGGTTTAAGCCATGGCTTATCAGAAACAGGTCATGGCAGAATGTCGTTCCAGGCCACATAAACTTTGATTGCTTCATCGCCAGTTTCTCTTGCTCGTGTAAGCTGAGGCAGGTAAGAAAGCCAATGCTGGGGATGACTTAGGTCATGACAATGAAGTCCAGATGCCGTTGTGCTCTGGGTACACCAGGGCCACATCTGCTTGGCCCTTCTGAAGTTCCGCAGGCAACCTTGGCAAATATCAAAAGTGTCTGGAGGACCTCCTCTGGATTCTTGAGCAATGACCAAGTTTCCCATATGGTGCTGATCTGGGTTGACTCCCAACTTTGTCAGAGACAGGCAGATCCTAAGCCATGTCAGGGCACTGAGCACTTCATCAGGAAGCAGCCTGGGAGATCTGTAAGGACACCATTTATCACGTTCTTGGTGAGCATCCAGCTTTAAAATAGAAGTGGTCTTGTCCCTACCATGATTATTACCGTCTCAAGGCCAACAAAAATGTCGGGAGTCTAGACTGTTGGATCTGGGAGGGGGTCTGGTGTGTTGTAGGCTATTTAACTGTCTTTGTACAGAAGGGGCTCTGTTAGAGCTCCTGGCTGAAAAGGGCCAACTGTCTCAACGGCCCTTCCTCCTAGAACTTCTAGCTCTTGGTCTCAGTTTTATCCTCCATGTGCTCTTCTTCCTAGAACTTCTAGCTCTTGGTCCCAGTTTTATCCTCCATGTAAGAGCTATCTATCTGCCTTCCGTGACCCACACATATGCATAGCCCCTGAGCACACCTGACTTGCTTTCTCTTTCTCTACAAGCTATGGTCTTCCAGGTCCTCCAGCCCTTCCTTGGAGGTTTGTCCACCCTTCTGTGACTGGCTGCTGTCCCTTTCAGCATCTTGTCAGAATAGCTGTGACCTTAAAAGCATGGAGCTCTTGCAGCAGATCCCAGAGGAGAAAAGCTGCATCCAGCTGGAGCTCAGCTCAGGCTATCCCCCACCCCACCCCGCCCCGCCTGCATTCTGCATCGCAGTTTCCTCAAGAAATATGTAGATTGGCTTAGGTGAGCAGTATGAATCCAAGCCCCTGCTGCATACACCTACCTATTGCTTGAATAATGAAGCCCACATAAAAGTCAAATGATGAGGCTGAAATTTGAACCTACCAGGGTCTAGGGTGAATGCTTGCTTATAACTTCCTGTGTACTTCCTCTCTGCCCAGCAGGCAGTGTTCACCTCTAGAGAGCTTCCAGGGAGGTCTGAAAGTACTTCATATCACATCTGCAGTCATCTGGTTGGGGCTTCCAAGGAGTTCAAGGCTCTTTGCCTTAACCTGAAGTCTTCTAAGTGGACTAATCGGGTTTCAGTGAAATGGAAACAAATCCCGCAGGGAGGTGATGTTACTGAGATCCTTTTGAGGGAAACAAAACATATTTGAACCTGGCTTTCAGCCTAGTGCTTATCTAGAGGCTGTGTTACACAGTAGGTCCCTAGGCCACTATATTGCAGAGTAGGTCCCTAAGCCAGAGTACAGAGATGTACCCACTGTAAGTACCTGAGAGTCTGAAAGTGCACATGTCGGAAACACATGAAGATCTCATTAATTAATAGCAAGATAATTCAGGGCCATCACAGTCTCTGCTGGCGTGAAGAGCATGTCACTTGAAGCCAGAGCTCTGCAAAGCCTGCCCTGTAAAGCATCCTGCGGAGGGGGCTGTGCCATGCTGTAATTCATTGCCCACAACTGGTCCCAGGCAGCGGGTCCTTGGGGAGCAGTGTTCATCATAGACGCCGAGCTGATTGTCCTCATGTAAAATACTGTTTCATCAGTGCCTGCATGAGGCGTGTTTCTTGGCAGCCACACAGAGGCTAACATCCTCAGATCACTGCTCTTTTTATGACAGACACTGTGCTAACTGCTGTCATCCACCCTGGGACGTGGTAACAGGACGCATGAGCTGAACAAAGTATTTTAAGGTATGTGGGACATGGTGTCTGCCTAAATGGTCCAGCTAGGCCATCGGGCAAAGCAGCTGTAGTGCACAGGCGGTCCCTGTGCTGGGCTATGGAAAAGGCATCACGAGCAAGTCAGGTCACACAGTGGCTGGGTCTCCTCCAAGCAATTCTGCAAGCACCATGGCAGCACCCAGAACTGCCACAAAGCTAAAGGAGTCATCAAACACACACACACACATGCACACACACCACATATATATACACATATACTACATACATACACACACGCACATACCACATACATATACCCCATTCTTATACACACCATACATATAGTACATACATACATACACACACACACGCATGCACACACACACTACATACATATATACATATACATACACACATGCGCGCACACACACATATACACACCACACATACACATACCACATATATATACATACATACACACACATGCACACACACAGAACATACACACACATATATATACACATATACCACACATATACATATACATACCACATACATATACATATATGTACACACAACACACATGTACAATACACACAGTACATACAACACACATACACATAGCACACACACACATACACTGCACAAACACCGTACCACAAACCACAGCACCAAAAAGATCACAACCTGAGTCCTCTTACCATAAAACCATGTCTGCATATTTCTTTATTCCATCATTCTGAAAATATCTTGGACTCTCTGGCCTTGCTCTGAGAAGTGCACAGAGCACAGTCCTTTTGTGTGAGGTGAGGGCTCTGGGGCACAGCAAGGATACCAGACATAACCCAGGCCCGAGATTGATTGATAACTGTTAGCTGGGCTGGAGATGTGTCTCGGTAGCCCTGAGTTCCATGTCCAACATATCACACATGTGCACACACGCACACGCACACACATACATACACACATGGTCCACCCCCACATACCCTTTCACACCCAATATACCCACATACACACATACATACACACCTTCCTATGCATACATACACATACAAACACATAAACACACACATACATATCTACACACACATACACACCCCTGCATACATATACACCTACACACAAAGTATACCTATATACACATCCCTCTACACACATACCCTTGTGCAAGCACACACACTCTTGCTCAGCAGCTAGCTCTTCCCTTACAATGCCAATAGAAACATGATTATCTGTCTTAGGACAGCAGTTATCTGTGTCATGTTGACATTACACTAGATAAGTCAGGTTCTGTCTCACTGCTCACCTCTGGTTGGCTGTAACAACAGAGCAATAAATCGGGAGGCAAGAAACAGCTGCAGAGAGACAGAGAGAGACTTTTCCTTTGGACCTTAGTTTCTTCCTTGTGTAGAACAAAAGGCTGTGTGTTTTCCAAGTCTAGCCTCCATCTATGGAGCACAGCAAAAGGAAAGCTGGAGCCAGGCAGAGCCGGGGTTGAATTTCATCCTTCGCACTCGTGGGTGAGCGGTGACCTCTTGGATCTTCTGTTTCTCCATCTGTAAGATGGGAGTGTCATGCAGTCACTGAGATGCTGTGAGAAAGGAAGGGGTAACGCCCACCTCTCTAGTGCACACTGCTCATCTGAACCTTCACTTCACCCTGATCTGTGATTGTAGCCTCACTTTCTTACAGGTGTCTCTTGAAAAATTCACAGTTGCAATTTGTGTGGGTACATGTGTTTGTATGTAAAGGTGTGTGTGTGTGTGCATGTGTGCATGTGTGTGTGTAGGGGGTGTGTATTGTGTGTGTGTTTATTCAGTATGCTTGACCATATATGGGCATGTCAAGGCCAGACTTTCTTTCAAGTGTCTCTTGAAAAATTTATAGTTGGTGTGTGTGTGTGTGTAGTATGCTTGTCCATATATGTGTATGTTGAGGCCACAGTTTCTCTTTAAAAAAAATTATAGTTGACATTGTGTGTGTGTGTGTGTATGTGCACGCGCGCATGAAGGTGCATATGTGTATAGGGGTGTGTGTATGTGTGCAGTGTGCTTGCCCATATGTGTGCATGCCCAGGCCAAAGGTCAATGCTGGGTGACTTCCTCTATTATTCGCCACCTTTCAACTTTCTTTTTTTCCATTTTTGTTTACTCGTGAGCATGCGTGGCCGTGCACTGCATGTGTGAGGAGGTCAGTTCCCTCCTTCCACCACGCAGTTTCTGAGGATGGGGCTCACGTCCAGCGGCAGGATGCTCGGCCACTGAGCCATCTCTCCAGTCACTCTCCTGGGTTGTGAGATAGGGTCTTTCACCTGGAGCTCACTGTTTTGCCTCAACTGTCCCCCAGGGAGCCTCTGGAGCCTGACTGTCCCCCAGGGCGATGGCTATAGGTATACACTATCACATCTAGCTTTTACATGGTGCTGAGAGTTCAAACTTAGGCCCTCATGTTTACACAGAAAGTCCTTTACTGACTATCTCCATAGCTCTGGTAGTTGGGCATTTTAATGAGGCCGAACAATGAACTTCTCTTTGATTTCTTTTTGAATTCATGTGTATTTTCAGATATTGGAGGGGGATTCCTTTTGGGTGTTCGTTTCTAATTTAGCTCCCCAATGGCAAGAGAACATACTTCCTAGGGCTTTTACATTTTACTAGATTTGTGGGGCATGGTTGTGCGTTCTGGAAGCAGAGGCAGGTGGATCTCCGAGTTCGAGGTCTACTGTTTGAAAAAAAAAAGCCAACTAACAAACAAAATGATTGTATTTGTTTTATGGTCTTTATTGCTACCTCTGACCTGGAAAAGTTTGTAGTCTGAAAGTAGTTGGGCAACAGGGCTGGAGAAACATCCCTGGGTCAGATCAGTCGATGTTCCAGTCAGCTTCCTTGTGTTGGCCCACTCAGGCTGCCGTAGCAAACAGCATAGGCAGTGTGGCTTGAACAACAGAAATGTATTACTCTTAATTTTAGAGGCTGAAAATCCAAGATGGAGGAAGCAGTGTGGCCGGGCTCTGGAGAAAGCTCATCGATAGGCTTGTAGACAGCCTTTTCATGCTGTGCCCTCACTGGGAGGCCAGAGAGAGGACACAAGTTCTGTTTAAATGTGTTTTTCCAGTACAAGGGTATCTTGGCAATGAGGAGCCAAGTGGCAGAAGGCCCGGGGGAGAGGGCTTTATAGGCTCTTTGGAGCATGCGCAGTGAACACAAGGGAAAGCTTAGTAGGGTGGGAAGTATCGCTTGGTTGGTAACTCTGAAACAACATTTGGCTGTTGATGCTGAGTTACAGGGGCAGGGATTTCTAAGTCTCTAGAGTCAAAGCAGGGGCAAGGCATTTTTCTCTTGGCGTTCCCCCTTTTTGTTTACTTTTGTTAAGTAATCAGAAGTCGGGAACAAGGGCACTATTATCATTAGACTACTTCCTGTTGTACGGGGACATCAAAGACCTTGGCAAGTTCAATCTTCACCATCAGGGCATAATTGGGGTTATAGGCCTCTGATCCCATAGGTGGGGGGCTGATAATCCTATAATTACAACTGATTTAAGGTCTGGTTAGAAATCTTTCAAGTTTATTGAAAAAAGTCTAGACAAGAAGTGTATGAGGCAGGAAACAATTAGGATTAGGAAAGGAGGGGAAGGGAGGAAGAACAATATCAACTCCATACTGGATTGTCAAGGATCCGCTGGCCAGAGGCATTGAGCTGTTCCTTACATTTTTGGAGATCTGTCTGGAGTTTTCAGGTCTTGTCTTTTACTCTACCTGACTGGTTGGCCTAGAAGCAGCATTTCTCCCTGGGGAAGAGGCAAAGGCCACCCTTCCCCACTGTTAGTGGATCTAATCCTAGCTGATTTTCTCTAATGGTTATCAAGTGGTTTGTATAGAACAAGATTTTTTTTTCTTAGAGCCACACAATAAACCCCTTGTTCTGCATAAAGCCAGTGGAGTGCCCTGTCATAATGTAGAACTATTTCAGCTAAAGAATCTACCTGTTGATAGATTTGGGCCAATTCGGTTCTAACAAGTATCTCTCCTGGTATGCTGACAGGCACTAGAAGTAGCCATTTTGTCCTCTATGCCAGGGTGTTTCCTTTTGACCTAATACTCCAGCCTACTAGAAGGGCAACATGCTCCCTTCTGTAACCACTTGCTGCTGAAACTAGTTGTCAGAGCCCAGAAAGGCTGGGATGCTAGTCAAAAGGCAGGAGAGGACTATGCAATGGGGCATTCATCTGGTTTGCTGGCCCAGCTGAAGAGATGGGGCAGTCACATCGGCTGGACTGATTCATATCAGCTTTCAGCAAGTCCAGGGCTCGAAGCTATTGGTGTACTGGTAGTCCACAGCTAATGGTGTTCACTGGGAGAGTGGAACTTTGCTGAGGTAGATACAGACTAGGGACAGAAGTTAAAAAGGAAGGTCATATATTTGGAACTTTTGGGCCCATAAGTCCTGGTAACTGGGGAAGGGAGGCACCCCAAGACCAGGGTACAGAGATCCTGCCCACAGGAATGGGGAAGCAGGGGAACTTATTTTAGCCCACTTGACCTATGAGAGGTGGGTCCAAGTCCTATGACTCCCTCAATTCCCCGAAGCTTACATGAATTTATTGTTTATAAGAAGACATTAAAGTTTTAGACATATTAACATTGCCACTGTTTATAATCTGTACTGAAATCCACAATTTAGAAGAGCAGCTAGCAGCTGTCTGTAAAATAGCTGGAGTGGATTCACACTTCCAAGCCGTAGTCGAGGCTTTGAGTTAAGAAGCACAAACATTTTTCTTCTGACTAGAGGGACGGACATAGAGATTGGGCAGACATGTTTTTAGCACAATGAAAAGTACCTTTAAATCTATACTTAGAAGACAACCAAGGGATATTTAAAATCTTCAGTTTGTGATAGATAACAGCAGTCAATATTTTATCAGCTTACCAGAACTCCATTGATCAATATTAAAACTCACCTTCAAATAGAAGGGTGTCTTAGTTAGGGTTTTACTGCTGTGAACAGACACCATGACTGAGGCAACTCTTATAAGGACAACATTTAATTGGGGCTGGCTTACAGGTTCAGAGGTTCAGTTCATTATCATCAAGGTGGGAGCATGACAGCATCCAAGCAGGCATGGTGCAGGAGGAGCTGAGAGTTCTACATCTTCATCTGAAGGCTGCTAGTGGAAGACTCGATTCCAGGCAGCTAGGCTGAGGGTCTTAAGCCCATGCCCACAGTGACACACCTACTCCAACAAGGCCACATCTCCAGATAGTGCTACTCCCTGGGCCAAACATATACAAACCATCACAGAGGGAGAAAGAAATCTGAAACATTTTTCATACCTTAGACTAGTTTCTTATAACCTTTACAACTTGCATTTTCATACTTTGAAACACCAGCTTTCCTGTCCTCAGACCTTAGCGCTTCAGAACCTATTTAAGCTTTTCCATTTCCCATCTAACACTCACCAGAGACGTGAGTCGTTATTGCTGGGAGCTGCCATTGCAAGGCAGGTTCCTTTGAATCTTTTGGTCTTGTCTTCGTCTCCTTTTTCTGTTGCAGTCAGGTGGCTTGCCTGACACAGGACAGAGATTTTGGAGGAAACCTTTAGATAAACTTGATAGGGTCTTGGGGGGAGGAGCCAAAACCCAACTCCAGAGCCAGCTTTTCAATAAAGCAGAACAGCATAAAACAACCTTAATATTATCCACAAAATTTGAGGCTCTGCATCCTCAAAAGACAGTTGAATCCCAGCTGTGCTGAATCTAGTGACCAGAGAGCTCAGAGATAAATTCTAAGCCCTGGCCATAAAAGCAACCATGGTAAGCAGCATTAGTGATGGTGGCTGGCTGGTGGCTGGCAGCGGCAGACAGAGGAAAGAAATAACCAGTAAACACTGAACACAGACAGCTCACAAACTCCAAGGAGACCAGTCAGAAACAAAACATGCGGTGGCCACTATCATTCATACATTCAACTGAGCCTGACCTGTTTTCGTCTCGGCTCCCATGTTTGCCACAGACTGATGGACAGACCAGAAAGCACAGAGCAGTCACAAGACAGACAGACAAACTTTCCAAACAACCAGAACCAGGTGGATGGATGGGAGGGTGGCATCTTGCTTTTTGCCATAAACAGGAGGGAAAGGGTTTTTGTAGTTGTCATGTTTGACTATAAAAGGGTTTGAGCGTCCCACACTCAGGGATGCACTTGGAAGTCAGTCCAGCAAGGAAAAGGGTATGTCAGATTGTGTGATTTGGAGGAAAATCAGAGGGGAATGGCCAGTGAGCCTGGGCCAAGCAGATGAAGGGAACAAAGGAAATAGAGGCTCCCACTATGGCTAGGAGGTCTCTCTTCCCCCAGCAAGGGGCTAGGACAGGTTGGTACCACCAGGAGGTGGTAAGCAGAATACCCCTAAAGATACAGCTGAGTGGTGTGGTTTGGTAAGGTTGGTAAGACTGTCCCCCCCATTCCCGATAATAGAGGAATAAATAGGGGAAGTGGTTCCTCCAAACTCCATCAGACCACAGTAAGTGGCCGCAATGTCCAGAAGGAAGGATATTGGTCACTTTGATACCATGATACCTACTTGTGGCTACCTGTTGGAGTAGGTGATGGTTGGGCCTAGGTTGTCCAGGCCCCTTCAGTCATTTATGACCAGGCCTAAGAGGTCGGCTAGAGGATGATCTGGGCCTGATGCCCCAACACTCTGAGGAACACAGGGACAGATAACATGATGGCACTTTGGACATGGGTGAAGTGGTTTACGAGGGCTTGGGCAGGCCTGGGCCCAGTGATTCCCTCTGACCACATCTGAAACAGGAACCTGGGAGTTCTCAGATTTTGAGAGGCAAGGGGGCCTGGGCAGTTGCTATGGCCAACTGAGAGGCCTTCACTAGCATCAGGTTTTTAGTTTGGGGGCTTTTTCATCTCTCCCATGGTACACCTTGAAGGCCACCGCCAAGACTTTCTGCCTGTGAAGTCAGGATGGCCCTCTCTAGGCATTTAAGTTTGGCCCTAATGTAAAGAAACTCTGGAAGAAGAAGGAGACCATAATGAGTTGTTTCCCTTCTGAGTCTTGGGTTCCAGATTGGTTTATTGTAGTGGAGCCTTCGTAAGGTAGTCCAGGAATCTAGATGGAGTTTTGTGCTTGTCCTGGATGACCTCTTAGATTTTTTTCATAATTTACTTCTTTTTGGGGCAGCCTTACAGAGACTGGTCAGGAGGCAAGTTATGAGTCTGTCTCTAGCTAAAATGTCCCCAAGGTATTGTTCCATTAGGAATCCAAGTCAGGGATTATCCCAATCCCAATTGAGTGGGCAGCATTAATTTGGTGGACTCTGCCTGTGCCCTAGCCTATTCCTGGACTCCTTCGAGCTCTCAGAGAAAGGGTTCTTGGTGAGAATCATATAACCCTCCTGGAAGGTGAGGTTGTAAGATTGGGTATATATTGGAATTCTCTAATAAAGGTGGATGAATAGTGATATAGGACCCCAAGCCTTTTTTCTATCTGAGAAAGTCTGCTTAGTGAGAAGAGGAAACGTACCTTGATGAAGCCGTCCATCTGAGAGACTTCCTGCAAAAGGAGAACCACGAGAACCCACGGCCAGGTTAGGCCAGGGAGGGAGAGGGAGAGAGGGAAAGGGAGAGGGAGGGGGAGGGAGACGAGAGGGAGAGAGAATTCCATGGCACAGAGGGAACCAGCCATGGGAGGACTAAGAGCTGACGGTAGGCAGAAGGTGAGTGCCAGGAAGATTTGTTTAGTGTGGCCTGTTCCTGAAGAGGAAGAAGGGGAGACCAGAGGGGCCAGAGCAGGAGGAGGAGCTGTGGGTTGATGCGGATAGGGAGAGGCTCATTAGCTGGGTCAGAGTGGTGGGGAATCATCTGCTTCAGGCTCCATGGCTAGGAGGAGCTGGGTGGGGGAACAGGAGGACTGGAAATAGGACTTGGAGAGGTGAGAAGAGAAAGCCTGGATGCAGGCAGGGATTCTCCATCCCGTTTCCCTGCTTGCTTGCAGTAGTTATGAAGGTCCTGAATAGTACTGGGACCTAGGGTGCCATTGGGTAGACATTGGGGTTGGTAAGCTAAGGGTTATTGAGGCCAGATTTAGGGCTCTTCAAGTCGGGTGGCAGGTGGAGCAGTAGGAAGTTTTCTAGGAGGCATCCCAAGGGAGAATGAGAGGGCATGGGTGTCACTGTTCCCATGGATTGGGGGGAGGTGTAGAAAAAAAAACGAACATAGAAGCCTGTAGTTGAGAGCATCCCCAGGTTTCAGGAAGAATGAGGACCAGAGCTTTTGACAAGTTCCAAAACCTTGCCAGAAGGCAACAAAAAACCGAGCTCAGGACCGAGATCTAATCCTCGGGAACGGGCCAGGGAATGGGATCTAATAGTATAAAACCATGAGAGTGTGGGGAGGCTGTGGGAGTACAGGCAGCTTCGAGGGGGAGGCAAAATAGAACGGGGGCAGGAAAGGGTCACAATAGCCCAGTCAGGCCTAAGGAAGCTGCAGGATTGCAGCTATGGTGGAGGGTGGAGGACGGGGGGGGGGGGGGGACACCCGGGGGGGGGGAATACCTCCACTTCAACAGTCACCTCCTTGGACTCAGGAAATTGTTAACACTGACTAACGGGGAAACTTCCTGGATTACTGCTAGGGTGAGTTGGAAGGTGAGTTCACTGTAGGTGGACTGGAGACGAGGGAGGGATGGGGTCTTGGTGTGCCTCAGACCCCGCAGCAGGAGCACAGCCAAGGAATACCACACATTCACAACAGGCAATAGAACTCACACAAGAGATCTATTGGGGAAAAGAGAATGGCTGTGACTGGGAAGAAAGACAGCAGAGCGCTGGGCAGAAGGGCAAGTTTTTATAGGGTCTTTGAAGCGTGTACAGTGAGCTATTGGAAAACTACACCCAAGCAGCATTGCTTGACCTTTAACTCTGAAACACTGGCTGATAAATCAGAGAGATTCCCGAGTGTCTGAGCTCAGGGTCAAGCCAGGGCCAGGGTGTTTCTCCCTAAGCTCTTTACTACACTATTGCTAGTCTCCTCTTAGGGAGCCGGGTTTGGGGTGCAGGTGTGGGGAAGCCAAGGGTGAGGAAAGTCCTGAGTAAATGTATATTGTTGGCGTGGTCACGGCCATGCCCAAGGCCTCGGCCCCATGGGCTCCCCATATGCCCACGCTCAAGAGTTATGGCAAAGTTTTCCTTGGGGGTCTGGGTCTGAGTGTTTATGAATAATTGATCTGTGTGTGCAAAGACTGGCAACTGCAGCTTCCCTGTCCTGGGTGTTTACAGTTTGACACTCCTCCCGGTAGAGACCTCCCACCGAGACTTCAAACCTTATTTTCAGATATCTCTCTAGGGACCAGGGTTCTAACGTACGGGATGGATGAGTGTACACAAGCGTGTCGTCTGTCCTCCTCATCCCGTCAATCATGGAGAGTAGGTATTGACATCTCTACTACAACTTCATCCACTTTTGCAGTCTGCATTTTCCTCCTCATCCCGTCAATCGTTGAGAGTAGGTATTGACATCTCTACTACAACTTCATCTGCTTTTGCAGTCTGCATTTTCGAGCTGTTATTAAATGCACAATTGCTGAGGAATACACCTTTTTATTACCTTAGCCTTTTACCACTACAAAATGAACCGTCCCACCAATAGTAACATTCTTTTCTTTGATGTCATTTTTCCAATGTTCTATTACCCAGATTGGCTCTGTATAAGCGTGATATGTATTTCCCATCTTTACTCCTCTCAACCAAAAGGAGACAGTCTCATGTATCTCAGGCTGCCCTTGAACTCAGTAAAACAAAACAAACAAGAACCTCAGCTGAGAATGATGTTAGACTTCTGATTCTCCTGCCTGTCTTCCCAGTACTGGGACGTGGGACTTGAACTCATGGCTTCACGCATGCTAGGTAAACATTCTACCAACTGATCTATATTCCCAGCCCCCACTCTTCACTTTTAAACTGCTGTGTCCTTTATAGTTAAGTTTGTTTCTTCCAGGCAGCACATAGTTGGGTCTTGCTTCTGTCATCTGAGATGGTCAAGCTACTTGCATTTTTTGTGATTGTTGATATGATTGAGTTTAGGGTCTCTCACAGCAGCTAATTCTTCATTGCTTAGTTATTTTTCATTATTAACTCTTATTCAAAATTCCATTTAACTAATAGATGATGTCCTTACTGAAGATTGGTAGAGATTTTTCTTAGTGAGTCTAGAGTTGGCTCATGAATAGTCTTGAGTTTTACAATTCTATCAGGAAGCTAAGGTCTATGAACATTCCTATTAAGTGTTGAGCTGGAAAGAAAATCCTTAAGGTTAACCTGAATTGACTAAGTCATCACATTACCAGATGAACTTTTAAATTCCCATTTTAAAGTGTTTAGCACCAGATGTGGTGGTGCACATCTGTAATCCTAGAACTCAGGACAAGAGAATTAGAGGCCAGCCTGGACTAGATAGTAAGACCTTGTCTCCAGGGTCCAATAGCAGGGAAGGGGTAGCTCTGAGGAAAAAAAAATTCAAGATTTTGAGAAGAAACCCAAACCATTCAAATGGAAAGAATAATTTCTTTCACAAGTACTGCTAGGACCAGGAAACAAAATCAAAATTCAACCAACGGGATTATATCAAACTTAAAAGCAAGCAACAAAAGACAACTTAAAAAATGGGAGAAAATATTTGCCAACTCTTCTTCCAGCAAGGGATTAGTGTCCAGAACAAACAGAAGTTCAACAGCAAAACAGTAATAATCCAATTAAAAATTGACAAGTGCTCTGAATAAACATTTCTCCAAAAAAAGGACACCAAAGTATTTAACAAGTATATGAAAAAATACTCAACATCACGTGTCATCACAGTAATATAGAGCAAACCCAGGAGATGCCACTTTACAGTTAGAATGGGTCTTACAGAAGAAAAAATAATACATGCTGACAAGGATGTGAGGGAAAGAAAGCTCTCATGCATGGTGGTTGGGAACACAGAAATTAGTCCATCCATAATAGGAAACACTTTAGCCAGGCAGTGGTGGCACACACCTTTAATCTCAGCACTTAGGAGGCAGAGGCAGATGAGTTCGAGGCCAGCCTGGTCTACAGAGTGAGTTCCAGGACAGTCAAGGCTACACAGAGAAACCCTGTCTCGAAAACAAACAAACAAACAAACAAACAAACAACAGGAAACACCTTGCAGACTTCTCAAGATAGGGCTAGCTAGACAGCTCAGCATGTAAGGGTGCTTGCCACTCAGGCCTGGAGACCCAAGTTCGAGTCCCAGAACCCACAGAGAACCAACTCCACAGAATCATCTTCTGACCTCCACAAGCATGCCATGGTGCACCCTACCCCTCACAACACAAACATACACACTATAATAAATGTAATTATGTAAAAAACAAAACAACTAAAGGACTCGAGAGATGTCTTAGTGGCTAAGAGCAATGGCTACTCTTCCAAAGGACTTAGGTCCAATTCCCAGCATCCACATGGTGGCTTACAACTTACACACACACACACATACACACACACACACGCACACACACACGATGTATCCACATGAGAAAACAACTATTGCATGTTCTCATTCATATGTGGAAGGCAAATGACTGATCCCACAGATGCAGGGAACAAAGTTGTGACAGGAGGGGTGGGGGACAGATGGCTGATGGGGGCTCAGCCAGAAGAGGCTAGCAGCTCATGACACAGTACAATGACTATGGTGGGCAACATTTAATTCTATGCCTCAAAGTAGCTAGAAGTGGATATTTTAATGTTTCTAACATACACTTAAACACAAAATAAATATTTGAGGTCATGGATATGCTCACTGGGAGTGGTGGCAGACATCTTTAATATGGTAGCTCACAGTGATCTGTAACTCCAGTTCCAGGAGATGTGGTCTTTTCTGACCTCAGAGGGCACAAGGCACACATGTTTTACACAGACATGAATGCAAGCAAGACACCCATAAACAAACAAACATACATACATACATACATACATACATGCATACATACATACATTCATACTTAAAAACTTAAAAAAACTGTATAACTGTATCAACTTGGTTAGGCCACAGGCTCTGATGCTTAGACACTGTTCCTGATAGTTCTGTGAAGGTATTTTTAGTTAAGATTAGACTGGAAATCAGCACTGGAACAAGTAGGGCTGGTTGCCTTCCATAACAGGTGTGGGAAGTGTGTACACACACACACACACACACACACACACACACACATATATATATATATATATGCATTTATAGTGGTAATGACCACTCTTTATAAAGATTATATCAAATCTGAGAAGATCACAGTAAGCCTTCATGCTCTTAGATTGCCTGTTAACAGGGAGAATGTCGAGAAACTGGAATGCTGCCCAGTCAGTCAGCACAGACAGAAATGGTCAGATGCTGCAGAAAGCTGCTCATGACGGCTAATCTTGTCACTCTGACTGGCTGGAAAGCAGCCTGCATTCTAGATTCTGGGAGAGGGCCTCTTAAGAGGATGATGGTTTGTGTGAGAGCAAGTGAAGGGTAAAGGGTCAGCTTGACCGTGGACGGTTCCACACAACAGACCCAAACGGAACCAAAGAGAAGGAAGCAGCGCATGCACACACCACACTTGCTGATACGGTGGCTACCTTCACCCAGGAACGTCTGACTGCTTTGGATGTGATTCAAACCTGTGACTCTGGGGAGCCTCCAGGTCTTCAACCTCCAACTGAGACTGTATCAGCTCAGTCCCTCTTTTTCTGAGGCTTCTAGTTTCTTGGGGTGAGCAGATCCTGGGTCTGGCTTTCTAGCAAGCCTATAGCCAAGGACCAGCCAGCCTCCTACTGTATAAGCCAATTTAATAGGTTCCTTTTTTACAATACAATGGATCTCTGCAGGTTCTAATCCTCAGAGAACTCAGCTAACACATTCCATGAGGAGTTAAGCAATCAATTACCCTGTGACCCGGCCATTGTACTCTGAGGCACATACCTTAAGGAATTGAGAACAGGTGTGCAAACCAAAACATGAGTCTATGGCAGCTTCATCAACAAAGCTGAGAGGGGAAACCAACCAACCAAACCCAGAGGTCCACGAGTTAGCCGGTAAACATAATGTGGCACACCCATACAGCAGAATGTCACTCTGCTCTAGAGAGGAATGAGATCTGACACCTGGCACAAAGGCAGGTAGAAGAACCAAGAAGCACTGTGCCAAGTGCAAAGAGCCAGGTCCAAAAGGTCACATCTGTACAAATCTATTTACTTTAGATATCTAGATTAAGGGATTCAAAGAAATAGAAAAGAAGCTGTTTGCCAGGGGAGTGAGGGATCACGGGAGTGACTGCTTCGTGGGTATCTGGTTTCCTAAAGGTGGGTGAGAATGTTCTGGAACTGGATAGTGGTGCTGGCCACACAATGGTCATGCCTACAGCAAATAACATCAAAAACGGGCCAGGTGATTAATCATATTTTGCATATCTTACCACAATTAAAAGCGGAATTGACATACACGCAGAGCAGGGTAGTATGCGCTTACTAACAGCTTAGGGCTGTGGAAAGGAATTCGGGTAACAGAAATACAGCAGCAAATGGAGAATTGAAGGTCTTAAACCCCCAGCCCTATACACAGAAGGTTGCTGGGACTCCAGTCTCAGCAGCACTGAGATCCACTGAGTGGCCAAGTACCTCTAACCAAAGGAAAACTCAGGCCCCCACATTTCCCTGCGGAGTACTAACAAAGGCACAGGGCGTTCCAACTCAGCTATTTACATACACAGAGCTAAGCTGCAGTTAAAGTTGACAAGGCTGCTCCTGGTCCACTGCAGTTGAGACACTAACATAGCATAGGAAGACCATGTTTAAGGCTCTAACCCCTCCAGGGACTGAGTGGTGCTAGGGAAGGGAAAAACGAGAAGCAGCCCTTTCTGAAGGGTTGTGACACAGCTTGCCTGACCAAGGCTCCACAACTTCCTCTGGAATGTGCTCAGCCTTTGCTCCCAGTCCCCTAAGCTTACCCCATCCCAGAGTCTCCCTGGCTCTTAGCTCACCTAAGGTCCTTCCCCAGCATGTCCCGACAGAACATGCCAGAGTGTGGGCACTGCTCTCACCCAATTTGCCCTCACAGACTCGAGGAGTGGAGGCCTCACCAGGCTGGGACACACCTTTTCTCGATCCCTCATCTGAGCAGCAGCTACTGGCACAGCATCATTTAGCTTTTGCCAGGCAGAGACCATCGTAGTCCACTGGACTGTCACCCTACAGAGCCCACTCTGAGCTCATGGAGGCTTGGAGTAAGAGGCTGCTGGTACCCACTGCTCGCTGTTGGGAGACCCCACACACTGAGCAGTGGTACTCTTTGAAAGAATTCTCACCCCAGATATCTTCCTTTGATTTTGATGCATCACCCTGAGGTGAGGGGGTTATGGGGATTTTGACCCCCTTTACTATAAATATCACCTATGGTATACAGCCTTCCCACCCATCCCACTTTTAACTTCTTATCACGTGTGCATGTAAATACCTACACACATTATTTAACATAGTCACAGCCATCACTGAGGCCTAATTTGTCTCAGAGCTGGTACCAGTCCCACTAGGACAGACCTTGTGCTTAAAAATTACCAATAGAGATGTTTGTAACTGCCTTACCTGTTTCTTAGCTAAGACTCACACAGCCAACATTTAAAATCCATGGAGGGCACTATGCAGGCACTGAATCCACTAGTAAGATTCTCACTAGGCAGAAATCTTCTGGAAGTCCCAGCATTGAACTTTAGACCTTGAAAGGACGTTAGCAGTAACTTGGCCAACCTAATGAAAATCAGCTAAGCACCTAAGCGACCGCTTAGAGACCTGCCCAAGGTCACCACAGGAGACGAGACAGCACTTTCTTTTTAAAAGATGAATTGATTCATGATGCTAATTTTAATATTTATCAAACCAGTGGTGGGAATGAATTTTTAATGCAAAATAACTATTTTGGTCTAAAAAATTGAACAAACTGGGTTTTCAACACTACATAAAGCTGTATGAATCCCAACCTACTGTGCAACGAAATAATGGATTCTTAATTGAATCTGTGCCTGAGAGTGGAAGACTGATTTTTAAATGGGAAACTTCACAGAGGTGGTGAGAAATAAGTTCAAGTCAGATAAATTTATTCCAGGAGAAAGAGCAAAACCAGGCCCAGAAAATGGCTTTTTAAAAAAGACCCCAAATAAACCCAGTACAGCTGACAGCTGGCAAGTCACAGTGCTCACCCACCTTCTTGGCCTCAGCAATGTTGACGGGTCCTCATCCCTGCAGACCCGAATCTCCAAGGTGTCACTGAAGCCTGTACAGCATCAGGACCCTACTCACTTATCACATTTATATTACTGGCATCCCAGGACATGCTACCCAGAGTTCTCAAAGGGTATGGAGGCAGTAACTACCCTCAGCTTTCAGGGATGGCAGAGAGCCTGGGACTAATCTAGCACCATACTTCTCAAAGACAGGAAAACTGAAGCCCAGAGCTGGAGGTACCTGCTCCAGAAAGGTCACACAGTTAGAGGCTTTAATCATACAAGGTTTTGGCAGATTTGTCAATTTGTGGGTTGCTCCATTTCCAACTGTGAGGACCTCAGAGCCATGCTAATAGAAATCAAGAGAGAATTATGAACATACTATTTATAGGTAGAAGGGAATTAATGAGGTCAGGAAAGCTGGGACACAGATCTTGTTTACTGAGATTCACACCCTACACTCAACCTTTACTAAACCAGAACACTGGGTGGGGGTTGGGAGAAGGCCGGAGAGATGGCTCAGCAGTAAAGAGTATTTTTGATTCTTGTAGAAGACCCAGGTTTGATTCCCAGCACACAACCATCTGTAACTCCAGTCCCAAGTGATCCAATGCTACCTTCTGGCCTCTGCAGGTACCAGGCATGTACATGCTGCACATACATACAAGCAGGCAAAACTCACCCTTTCCTGACGGTGAACTTAAGACTTTCGGTGCAGGTGGTCTTGATGGACCACCATTACTAAGAAGGAAGTCCCTTGCATCATGAGAAACAGGTAACCACACCTGGGATGTAACACCACTATCACTTAGTGGGAAAATCACAACCATTCCCAAACACATCAGTTGCTTCAGAGAATCCTGTCTCCAGGGCCTTTTCTATTACTTTGAGATTTAACCGGTAATACTCAGTCAAGTGGTCTTCTGCTGGATGTCAACACCAGGAGAACAGAAATCCAAGGAAACACTTTAAAAAGATGGTGTTGGATTATTTTCCGTTTTTCCAAGACCAGCTTCACCACACTGCAAATCAATTTCCATGAGGCCCGGTGGTGTGACTGAAAACACTGGAACCAAAGACCTCCCAAGCTATCCTGTGTGTCTGGGGGACATCACCAGTTCCCCACCCCAAGCCCAGCCAGTCTTCACTCCTGCAGAAGGATGAAACCCAGCTGGCACTCTCTGCCACAGTGTGGACTGCTAACTGGACAATCGAGCTCCGAGAAAGACTCGGAGAGTAAGTTCATCCTGTCGTCTTAGGTATGCGCCACTCTCAGCCCCCAGGGGAAGGCTCCATGCAGACAGAGCGCTCTCTCCTGATGATCTCTAGTCGCTGCACAAGGCAGGGAAAAGAAACATCACAGAATGTTGTTCAACAACACGGCCTTTATTCAAAAATATATATCTATGAGACATTTCAGAATATACTGCTGCCATCAATGACAGCCTATACTTCTAAATAAAGTCCTAAATTAATATACAAATTTAAGCTTTAAAAATATCCTTTAAGAAAAACAAAAACAAAGAAAGACTGAAGACTTTCTGAGGAATATGACCCCAAGAGAAAGACCCTTGAGGCCTATGGATGCCCTAAAGAAACACAAAACCAGAAGTCACCCACCCACCCGCCAGATCAACTCTCAGGAACAAAAGCTTCACTTAAGTTAAACAAGGGAAGTAAGCACACAGTTGGGAGACTGGGGGTGGAAGAGGAGGAGGCACACAAACAAGGAAGATTAAAAAAACTGAAGCATTTCATTAAAACGAAACTAACTTCCTCACAGGAAGTCTGCTAGCAACTGGTGTTAAGAGGCCAACACATTCATTTACATAATCCTGGTTCACGTCTTGATCCTGCTGTAAGAGTTACGCACTGATTGCTGGTCAGAGACTCCAAAGAATAAAGCATAGCCTTGTGCTGACTCCACTAAGTTGTCATCAGAGCAGAGCTGCTACAGTCTTTTGGTCTGTCTCCTGGGAAAGCAGTGTCTGGGGAAGATGTTCAGAGCGGTGTGTGCATGTGACAATAAAGTGGCACGCTGTGTGAGGAGGCGTTCCACAGCAGAGATGGGATTTCACCTGAATCAGTGCTGTCCTGTAGCCTCTGGAGAAAACGATGCTGACAGAAAAGGCAGAGTGAACAAGCCAACAACAGCCTGCATTCAATGTGAATAACAGCTTCCACAAAGACCAGGCTGGACATAGGGGAACTGAGTCACACCTCATAGCAGGTGGGGTGGCTTCGAAGACCAAAGCCTGCCTACTCGGTGGCATGTAGGTTTGCTTTAACATGTAAAAACGATGTGTGGGTTTTTTTTGGTTGTTTTTTTTTTTTTTTTTTTTTTGTGATCCTGAAAACAGCAACTTAAAGTAATGAAGCTTCTCAAGGCCCCTTTACTGAATTCCTTCTTATGGTTTTTGGACTTCAGCTCCTGGCGACAATTCCTATTACGCTAGTAGGACAAAATGGTTTCTGCCCTTTCCAAAGTCAAAAATAAGCCTGCCAGATTACAATCGTTTCCAGGTCCAGGCCCAATCTTTACTAGACGTAAAAATCTTAACTACATCATTCAGTCATAATGTCAGCTGACATGATAATGGAATTAAAACCCCAAATTAGTCTCCCTCCATTCCCTTCCACATGCTTCCCTTTCCACGGGAGCATGGAGACAGAGTGGCGTGAGCTGCCTGGCATGCTCAGTGTCCTGTCTGTCGAGAAGTTCGAGTTTAGTTTCCATACGGTGGATGTGTGTCCACATGGTGCATTACTGTAAGCTCCAGCCCCTGCAGAAGGGAAGGTGAGAGCAACATGCAGAAGAGCCCAGACTCCAGCTGTGGAGCATTGATAGGCCTGGGCGTGCTGTCCGAACAGCTTTCTTTCCAGCACCAGGGGGCAGAGGCTCCAGCTTTGGGAAGGCTCTGAAACTGGGGACCCTTGCAAAGTGCGGCAGGGAAATGACCTGTGATCCCTGCCCTCTGTGCTTGCGCTATAACTTTATGTCTCAGATCAGCTTCGAATCTTATTGTTGGATTCTCTAGAATGCTCGCAAAACAAACACACCTAACCATGACAACGCTTCTCTAATAGAAGTGCTTAGGTCGGGAAATGTAGGCAATTTGGCAAACTCTGTGGCAAAGCTGTGCTGCCGACCTTGTGAGGAGATGGTGGCCAGGAAAGCCAATCTCTGCAGCCCGAGTCCTCACTGGGAGCCTGTTCTGAACCTGGTCAAGGTCAGCTCAGATTTCCATGACATGTGATGTCACTGAGGCAAGCTTCTCCGAAGCTTCCAGAAGTACACATGATTTTCATGGCTTATGAGTGTAAGAGAGCTAAGGATGGAAAAGCAGCAGTGGTAAGAGACATGAGTGGGAGGGCGAGTGTCTTCTTAGCAAGTACGAATCAACACTGAGTCCATCTGCATGGTTCTGAACCGTGCTCAGGAGGGAGCCGGAGGAGAGTGAGAAGTCAGAGTTCCCTGCTTCATTACTGAGGCAGATGCTGGCTGAAGAGCTGGAGCTAGGGCCAGGGGACTGTCTCCAACAGTGACTTGCTTCTTTTCTCTGGCACACATGGGAACCTGGGGCATGATTCCTGTCCTAGTCAGTTGAAAAGAGATCACCAGCAGAGGGCAGAGGTGCCAGGCCCCCTGTGACATTAGGCAGCAGTGAGAGGTCCGGCAAGCTCTGAATGTGGGACTTGAGTTCCTTGCGGACCTGGGTTACTCGAGCAAGCTTCTGTTTATACTCCTAGAATGACAAAGGAAAAAGAGACTTTGGGTTACACTCATAGGCTGCCCCATGCCAATCAGTTAGTCCCACCCACTTGTTCCATATTCCCCAACCAGACTGGCAGAGCTCTTCAGGACCAGCACTACACAGCAGCTGCCAAGCACCCAAAGGTCCAGCTTATCAAAGACACAGCCTGCCCTAATGCTGAGAGCCTGTGAAAGGACATGCAGCCCGCACAGGAAGCTGGGAAGTAAAAAGCAGTGACAGATTTGTTGTATGCCTTTAACTGGTCCTCAACAGTTGTACAAATATGTAGGTGCTCACATGTTGCTGAGATTTTTGAGAGCTCTATCTAGACCAAACGCTTTCAACCTGTGGATTGTGATTCCCCTTGGCAAACCTCTATCTCTAAAAATATTTACATTATAATTCATAACAGTATGAAAATTACAGTTATAAAAGTAACAACAAAAATACCTTTATGGTTGGGGTCAGTACAACATGAGACGCTGTACTAAGGGTCGCAGCGTCAGGAGGAATGAAAGCACACTTTCTGTGTTAAAGCTTACAGACCACCCCAGGTCAACCACTCACAAGCAAGTTCTCCACATGTTCACCCACCTGCCACCACCACCTGGGTCTGTAGGCCTTGAAGTCTCTGTGCTAATTTCTCTAGGAATGCTTCCAGCCTTACCTAGAATCTACTCTCCTTGTACCATCTCCACTGAGAAGGTACAATGTGCCCTGTTACCACCATGTGTCAGAGTCCAAAGCACTGAAAGGTCTCTTGCTTCTCTGGGTCCTAGCAAAGGCCGCCTCAGCTCCTCTACCTACTGGGTGAGCTCCACCTGTCTGAAAAATCCACTTAGCGCCCAAAGAGCAGGTGTCCACCCACACTGTTGCTCTACAGCTCCCCTTGCTGGTTGACTGGAGATCCCAGTAGCTGCTCTGTTAACCTCAGTCACATCAGACTTACTACTCACAATGATGGAAATGGGGCAGGTTTTCCTGTCTTTAGCTCACAAACACTTCTAATAAATCTGTATGAGAAAACACTGAGCTATGTGAGGTCTGAGGCTTAGAAACACCCAGAGGCTTATTTTCCCCCACCAGTCATTTTGTAAGGATAAGGAGGTTCTCAAGGCTGGACCCAGGCTGCAGAGACTTTCTTACAGCAGTACACCCAAAGCACTGGGAAAACTCAGAGGCCAGGGGTTAGCAATGTTTCTGCCTCTTCCATCCTATTTGAGACACATTTCCTCCTTCCCTGCCTGAAGTGCAGAAACAGCCTTTACAATGAAGACACACAGATGGGTCTCGGTCTCGGTCTCTCTCTCTCCCTCTCCCTCTCCCTCTCCCTCTCCCTCTCCCTCTCCCTCTCCCTCATTCCTTCCCTCCCTTCCTTTTTGGTTCTTCTAGATATTGTCTCTGTACAGCCTTGTCTGTCCTGGAACTCTACAAACTAGGCTGGCCTTGAACTCACAGAGATCTGCCTGCCTCTGCCTCCTGAGTGCTGAGATTAAAGTCATGTGCCACTATCATCACCTAGGATGAAGACCTTTCTTCATTTCTCAGTTCTTTTGGGGGACTAGGAAATCTGAGATACAATCTCACTATGTAGCCCTGGCTCTCCTGGAACTCACTATGTAAACCAGGCTGTCCTTGAACTCCCAAGAGACCCACATGCCTCTGCCTCCCAAGTATTGGAATTAAAGGTATACACCACTACACCCAGCAGTAATTTCTCAGTTCTTCAATGCCAAATACCTTGCACACAAGGAGACAAGCTTGAGGATGTATGGAAAACTATTAATGAGGACTCTTCCATCATACCAGGAAGCTCTGGACACACAGGCCTCACTCCACATCCACCACACCCCACAGTGCCCAGCACAGTAGTGGGATAAATTAGCAACACAGAGAACAAACATAGGTATAGAAATCTTCCTCAAACTTGGACCTCACGCAACACTTTCATTCCTGCAATGGAAGCCACATTTAAGCCTGGGTTCTACAAGGCCAAGGTCCCCTGCCTCTGCCTGCACCAATACTCAGGTGGCACTTGTCTAAGGCATCAGGCCAATGGTCTCTTTCTAGATATAATAAATTACTAATCGTAGCACTTGGAGGGCTGAAGCAGCAAGATCACAAATTCAAGGCCAACATGGGCTACACAGAGAGATCCTGTCTCAAAAGCACTGAGCAGACTCCATCTCTTCCCTTGCCGAAGAGTCAGGCTTTCCAAATGAAATCAACTATAAATGCTGTCACAGTCTAAGAAAACATTCAAGAACAAGCCCAAGCAAAACTACCCTGAGTGTAATTTCAGCCCCCATTTCTAATTCTTCCTGTTTTGACACTCCCCAAGGTAGGGAGTGTACACCCACTCCAGCCCCCAGGGAACAGCTCAGTTTTCTGGTTTTAAGCAGGGCAATAAGAGCTTGGGGAAACCAAAGACTCTCAGGCCTTTCCTCTTGGTAGCGTGTGGTCCAAGTGGCTGCTGAAAGTCTCCCTGGAGAACAGTGCGCTCCGCAACTCTTGCCCCTCCACAGGGCTACCTGTAGTGCTGTGAGTAAAGATGGCCCTCTCGGTTCGTATACTTGAATCCCTAGTCACTAGAGAGTGGCACTAGAGGAGGGTTGGGAGGTGTGGCTTTATTGTAGGTGTGGCCTTTGCTGGGAAATGTCAAACTGGGGGGTGCACTTTGAGATTTTAAAAGCCTATGCTAGGCCCGTTCTCTTTCTGCCTGTGTGGATTAGGACACAGCTCTTAGCTATTGCTCTGGTGATATGCGTGCCACCATGTTCACTGCCATAATAGTGGACTAAGCCTCAGAAACTGTAGGCAAACCCCCAGTTACACGCTTTCTCTTTTAAGCACTGCCTTGGTCATGACATGATAGAGCAGTGACCAAGATCACCCAGACCAGCTTCCTGTGAAGGGGCCCACTAGGAGCATTCTGATTCCTAAAGGGTGCAGTTTTCTTGTCTCTTTAGCACACCAAAAGCCACTCAAACAGGGCAAGGACAGAACCCACAGGCTATTTGCTTAGAGTCGCCTACATCTGTGTGTGATCCTGACCCAAGCATGGAATCTTCTACTCACGCATTTAAGAGATCAGGAGTCACACCATGGACACCCAAGCTGCTGCTGCTGCTGCTGCTGCAGTGCTTCGCTGGCCATGGTCTCTGGCAGCCATCCTCCCAGTCACAATACAAGGCCTTTGCTACTCTTTCCTCACTGATGCCTTCACCCAACAGCCTCACCCTTTCGCTTCCCTCGTGGGCATACTTCAGCCCCTAGTTGCAGCTGCTAGCCTGCCCCTGAGCATCAGTGCAGAAACCTGCAACGGGTCAAGTCACATCTGACCTGCCACCACCGGCGTCAAGATCCAGGGGCTGTGATGAGCTTCTAGAATCTCTGTGGCTGCCAAGTAATGTTTCAAATGTAGACAGCCTAAGGTGTGTTTTGAGATAGCCTAAGGTATGTTCTGAGGATTTATGTTCTTGGCAAAGTTTTGGAGTCTTCCCTCATAGTCACAAACTACAGGAGAAAGTGCACTAACAGCCAGCGCTGGCTAACACTGTGAACTCAGGCACCATGGCACACGGAACAAAGCGCTGAGGGAGCAGGGCCTTCCACATTCTTTGCCTTTTATGGCCAGGGCAGTGAGCCAGACCTGACATGCTGCAGAGGAGCTCTGGGATAAGAAGGTTAAAAATGACAGGGGCTGACAGTACAGTGACCTTTCTACAGGAATTTCATTTTTGAAACAAACAAAATTGTATTTCCTCTAGCAACTCACATAAGAAATGCTGACCCGAATATAAGTAAGCATTCTCAAACCCACTCTCCCCTGGCTAGAGCATTTACCTAAGCACTAACACTGGGGTGGCTGCATGCTGAACAGCAGCTACGGGGCACCACGGCTGCCTCCTTCATCACAGTTTGCTGTGCTATGGGACACAGGGCACAGCTCCTTCTAGGTGAGAATCATGAAGGACTATCATGCACAACACAGTTCATAAAGGGCCTTGCTTTAAATAATGGTGGCACCACACTGAAAGTAACTCCAAGAGCTACTTTGTAACATGGAGAAGCTGGCTTTTGTGCCTCTGTAGTAAAGCACTTACCTAGCATGCGCAAGGCCTCAGTTCCAATGCCAGCACCAGGAAGTGGAAAAAGAAAAAAGGAAGTAAACTTTTACCTGGCTATGGTTTAACCTAGCCCAAGTCCTCTCATTTCAGGCCTCCAGCAAGTCCATTCTCCATTACTCACAGGACCTGCACTTACAGTCAGAACCTCAGCAAGCACATCTGTTCAACCATCATCTGGCTGACAGAACAGCACGTATATCTTCATACTGGAAATAAGAATGCTGCTTTAAATTTTCCGTCACAGATCCATGTAGAACAAAAAGCATCACTAACCTGTCCCACTCTCCCTGCCAGCTCCAGGTCAGCTACCACATTTCAAAACGATACATTCTGGGTACCAGAGCAGGGCTGGAGCTGCTGAGTAAGATGCAAGGGGAAGATAAAAGGAAGAGAAACAACTGTGGCTGCATCCCCCAAGTTTGAGGACTGGTCACCTTCAGCACTAAAGCCACCGCACACAGAACCTTCCAAAAGGACAAACGGCAAATGAGCACAGAGGAATGTCCTCTGAACACCCATCCATCCACCAGACACCATCCACCTGTCACATGATAGTAGGCTTCTTAAACACTGGAACACACACAAACTTTTTCTGGGTGCTTCTTTTTCCTCTGGGGACCCTCAAGTGTTTCTATTGCCACAACAAAGACCCCAGTCTTGGGGCTTGAGAGATGGCTTGAAAGTTAAGAGCACCTGCTGCTCTTTCTGAGGATCTGGGTTCAATTCCTCGCACCAACAGAGTGGCTCACAACCATCTGTAACTTCAATTCCAGGGAATCTGACACACTCTTCTGGCCACTATGGGCACCAGGCATGAACATGATACACAGATGTACATGGAGACAAAACATGCATACTCAT